ACGCGGACGTCTATGACATTGACCTCTTTGACAATGACAAATCCACCATCTCCGACCTGCAAGCTATGAACCGCAAGGTGATCTGCTACTTTTCCGCCGGTACCTACGAAAACTGGCGCAGTGATGCCGGCGACTTCACCAGCTCGGATAAGGGATCTAACCTTGACGACTGGCCCGGTGAGCGCTGGATTGATACCAATTCCAAAAATGTGCGCAAAATCATGCAGACCCGCCTGGATCTGGCCAAAGAAAAGGGATGTGACGGAGTCGACCCCGACAACATCGACGCTTATGACAACTCGAACGGCCTGAAGCTGACACAGGACGATGCCATCGACTTTGTGAACTGGCTCGCAGGGCAGGCTCACAGCCGAGGACTGTCTGTTGGACTCAAGAACGGTGGTGCAATTATTGGTTCCGTCATCAAGAACATGCAATGGTCCGTCAATGAGCAGTGTGCTCAGTATACGGAATGCGATACATATGCCGCTTTCACGGATGCGAAAAAGCCTGTTTTCCACATTGAATACCCCAAAGGAGGTGACACTAATAATAATGATGAAGTCACGACTAAGCAGAAGTCATCTGCTTGCGATGCTGACAGCGCCTCCGACTTCTCCACTGTCATTAAGAACATGGACCTGGACAACTGGGTGGAATACTGCTCTTGAAAATTTTGCCATGAGACTTTAGATATTTTCTTTCTTTCTTTCAGCCTGCACTTATACTATGTACTCATTAGCAACCTTGTAGCTTACACATTTCGAAATTTCTCGTTATCATTAATACCTCCTTGTTTCTCATTGCTCTTTACGTACAGTACCAATCTATTGTGCTCGTTTACAGCTTGAATCCATGGCGGTGATGGTGCCACCGTCTTGGCGTAAAGTAATCCCATCAATAGTAATCAAAAACACTGATCAAACTTCACATCCTCGCTTCGCAAAACCATCATGCCAATCCAAGGCATTAAAGTCAAGCTCTACGGCCGTGAAAGGCCCCCAGCCCGAAGCCTCGCCGAAGCTTAGCTTAGAAAGTCCATGCTCGCCTTTTCTTTCCATGTATACATTCAGCTTCAAATTCCTCCACAGCATTTATGGAGTACATATGCAGCTATTCACTAAGCACTAAAATGCCCAACGACCCCCGTATATGCATACATAGTCTTCCTACACTAATTCCATTTCCCAAGACCCTTGTACATAAAGACGGAAATCAAACTCAGACGTTCGGTGCTCGCCTCAAGACACCTGACTTTGACGCCCTCGCAAGCCTACGGCGCCAGCGAACCCATTGAACCGGACACATACGGTCCACGGTTTGCTAGTATTCATTAGCGCGGGATCTGTAAATGCCCAGACCGTTCGCGCCACGAATTCGGGCGCGAGTCAGTAGCGTGGAAAAATTGGACTTCGGATTTCGCGATTCCATGCCCAGCCCTATCTATCGTCTTGGTAGAGAGTAACTATAGGGGGACGGTGATTATCCAAAGATAGATTGATGCATTGTCCGCACTTATGTACATAGGAGTTAGTATGTTCTGCCGAAGATCCGAAGGCCCTGAAAGACAAAGAGTCCTTTGATTCTGTCCGGATTTTATTTCTGATGTTCCATTGCATGAGGCGCAGACGCAGACGCAGACAGGTCATTGCGTGCTTTGAGCTGTTTCTGTCTCGGCTTTCATCCGAGGCTGAGGGCTGCCCAGACTCCCAATCAGCCCAAGCTCCATCTCCCCGGGTGATTCACAGGAGGCGATTGATCCACCGAACTTTTGCTTTTTGCTTGGCATTTCTTGGCACTGCTTGATCCCTGTCCAGAACGAACGAGTGTATTGGTTAAGTTTCGAGGAGGAAGTTGCCTGTATCGGAATTGACCAGGGGTTGTTGACAAATGTAATTGTGGTGCATTAGGGCGGGCGATGGTGGTATTATTCGTAAGTACGGGCCTGAGGTACCGACTCTCTGTAATTCCAGGTAATTTTCAGTTTGTGGGCAATACTCAGCCATTACGGCACGGTAAGATTCGATTCACTGCAATCCCCTCCCAATTTCCCCGCGCTGGCTTTCCTTCTTCACATGGTCCGCAACAGATCAACACGAGCCTTCACCGACCAATGGTGTGAGACATGTTAGAAATTTAATTTTGGCTTCGGAACATAAACTTTGAATCGCTCGCCCTTGCAGAAATGCGTTTGAGAACGAGATTGATTTTTTTCTCCCGAATCGCCTCCTCCCGCACCAGTTGGAGTTGGCCCCACGATAAAGCCACAGCCAAGCTAACTTGGTGGTAAATCTCTTACAGGCCCCTCTCCGCTCTGGCGAATTATGAACTAACAGTGGCAATGTTTTGCCCAGCCTTGTGCTAATTTTTCACGCTTTGCCGAGATATCGAGCTAACGGCACAATAGGACAACCGGTGAAACCCATCATCAAGGACTATACCGCATGCCCATTCTTAGCGCCTATTCCAACAGCCGACGATGTGATTTATCAAACGATCTACGACCCAACTTCTACTTCTGACATCCTGAAGCGAAAGCAAAGGGAAAGAAGAAAAAAAGCAATGGCGATGCGCATGCAAAAAGATCAAACCAAAGCGCTAAGATCGGCAGCCCGAGTGGCTCCCGGACGGATCTGCCCGTGTTCCTGACCGCGAACCCCCATCAAACCGAGATGACTGGTTCACACCACATGGGGGAAACATCCCGGACTCCACTTGAGCCGTGCGAGGGCCCAGATCATTGCCTGAACAGGCGTGGGCGAGGAGTACATTTCAAGATCGTGCAACGACGGTCTCTCCTGTTGTCCTAAGCGAGCTGCAGGATTGGACCTACTTTTTTCTCACACCGCCAAGCCATTCCAGAACTTCTTGCGGTCGGGATCCGATCCTTTCGGGTGATGCGGCGGTCGGAGGTTGACCATTTGAATGATTACTATTTGCCCCCGAGGCTGAACAGGAGTTCGTTCTTGTCCTGCATGCCTGTTGAATGGAACGGTTGCTCGGTTCAAGTTCTGTTAATCATCAGCCCCCGACCCCGGTGGCTGGGTATGTGGGCATGAAGGCGTAGCCCGGGTAATTAACAAACGGCCCCCGATGTTGGACTTCACGCACTGTACCTACATACTTTACGAGTAGCCAGCCTGCTAACCCTTAGAGTTCCCCGCCCCCTATGGATGGTGAAACAGTTCAAGTTTGCAAATAGTACGGGGCCTGATGCACTTTTCTCCGGCCTCAAACCGACCATGTCGATTTATATCTCTGAATAGTTAGTGAATTCGTAATCTAAGTTCTATGTACTCCGTAGTAGCAGATTAACTCTCCCAAGGCCTCAAATAAGCTAGATCAGACTACGCGGATCGGAGGGATTTTCCTCTCTCATACTGGTTTTGTCGTTAGTCTCTTCGGTAGATGCACTGCCGTACTAGTTTACCAGGAAACGGATCGAAACTCTCACGGGCCACAGAATGTGGAGAGGCAACCCAGGATGGAGATGTACTGTTTTGTGTAACCGGTGTACGGAGAATTGCTGAATTACTCACGGTGTTAATGGATTAACGATTTTTCATTGTGCATTTCGTTGTCAAGCTCGGGGAGCACCGTGTGTAACCGGTTCCTGGCACAGTAAGCTCGAGTCTAAAATTTTCATTTCAAACCTCCGACTTTTCAATGTCCCTTTGGAAGAGAATAATACTAGTTCAAAATACATCTAGGGTCCATACTTGTTTGCGGTGTTTCTGTGCCATCGCAGCGTTGTGTCGTAACACCCATAGTAGCTTCATCTAGAGTACCCGTATGCATCTGCTGCTGATATCTTTGTCAGGTATCACGTTGTTGTCTCAGGTTCTCAGGTCTCCCCACCGCTCTCCCTAACTTTCGGTTGATCAGTAACACTGCGTCAAATTGCAGGACCCTGGAATGCTTTCATCTATGTCTGACTATTTTTGGACGTCTCTGCCACGGTGGTAGTAACGTCAATTTACCTGCATCTGTTCTTGAGACACGCAGGGAGAATGCCTTTAGCTAGTTTGCTCTAGAGTAGGTAGATGCGCTGGACCTTTTTGTCTTTAGGAGATGTGACGGGATTAGAGTATTTTATTGGTCAATCTTGCCAAGTAATGTCTCATGGTGCGGTGTACTGCCTCTCCGACTGGTCAAGTCAGCGGCAACTTGGAAAAACAAGTATGTATGGCTTCATCTGTCTTCCCAGTAGGGAAGGTGACTTATCACTTTCTTCGATTTTGCTTTTTTCTTTCTTTCAGCGCTTGTAGAAACCTCAGCTCTATGCATCATCACCAACTTTCCTGCCCGACTAACCATTTGGATAAGTCATTGGCTTTTCTAACCATGGAAGTGATGAGATCGTACTTCGTAGCAGCAATTCGCTTCGAGCTGGCTAAACTAGGGCTCGAAAACCATGATGCCCAGCCAGAACTATGGATTTTGAAACGCCACGAGAAAATGCCGTGCTATTGGGAACAGTCTGGCTAAGCTAACGGGGTGGGGCGTACGATGTACGAATACGAACTCTAGTTTGAAAATTACCGTACAACGATGGGCGGGCCCGACTTCATGTCTGCACTTTTCCCAAAAGAGGAGTCTACACCGGTTCCACCTACACGTCCTTTTGTTTTCTTTCACGATGATTTTATTTCTTCAATTTATCAAGTCTTGGCATCTCTCTCGGACTCCCAAAACCTGCAACTAGTTTCTTGGGTCATCCGTTGAAGGCAAGGGAAAAAAATCAAAAACAGGCAGTGGTGGAATTTCTACATCACGCTAAGGCAACCGATCATCTATCAGATGATTGGGAGAACGAGAGCTCATAACGTCAACGTCAACGTGGACGAGTGATCAACAAAAAAAAGAAATTAATCATCATCTACTATTCCCAACTAGTATTAACTAAGAAAAAAACACGCATCATTCAACACATCATGACTTCATTAGAACAGACCATAGCGGAATATCCTTTCCCGGCAACGCCATCAGGCATCTCATGCTCATGCTGCCATCAAATCAACAAACTCGCTCCACTGGTTCCCAAAGCTAGCATAGTAGTTGGTATTAAGATGAGTGATGAAAAGCTCATCCGCCACCTTGCGGGCCTCCTTCACTAGTTCGCGCAGCTTCGATCCCTCCACGGTATCGGGTACTGAATGGATCACGGCACATAGCTGCGAGCGATTGCTGTCCGGGATCGCCGTGAACAGGTTAGCTCCATTCCGCGTTTCAAAGGTGTTGTAAGTTTCTTCGAATACGACAGTTGAGTCGGCCGAAGGTAAGTACCGAGAGTCTGGGATGGCGCCAGGGTTGTGGACGACCTGGCGACTTGGTTAGTTTCAGGGATTCGCTTCGAAAGACCAGAAAGGGAAATAAAGGGCTTTCAATAGTAGGAATGCATGACTTTGGGGAGATTTTATTTTTCTCCTCTTTTTTTAAACTCCGGCCCAAACATGAATCAATGGTTGAAATGTGTGGCTCCAGGAATAGAACCACGCGTGAACCAGGGTATGGTAGTGGGGGAGGATGGGGGGGTTGTGAATGAAGAGGTCATGCAAGGGGAATGAGGCGCAAGTAGAGCCACAAATTTGTTCAAGCAAAACAAGTCGAATGGGGAAAAGAGAATTGAAAAAATGAAACTCACAAATGGGTCGGAACCAAGCCCTTTCAGACCCCTGACAAGGTCCGTCATATTTTGCAGGTAAGCCAAGGAATGGGCACTGTATGCCTGGGGAGTCTCATCGAAGAATATACCCCGAACAGCTAAGTCCGGGTTTGAGGAATTCGTCGGCCATGCCGCGTAAGTTTCAATGTCCTTTTGGACAAGAGAAATGTTACGCTGGGCATAGGTAGTGTGGACGTATCCCAGAAGGCGAACATTCGCGTGGGAAGCGAGCTTTGGAATTTCACGAGTGTAATTCGCATCCGGCAGCGAGTTAGGCCCTGGCCCGTTTCCTGGATTGATTACGACAGTAAAATTGACGTCTGGGTGGGTAGAGATCCTAGTGTGGGTTTTCCAATCAGCATCTTTGGGGGCTTTTTTTTGTAGTTTACTGGTTTTTTTCAAATGCCTTCTTGGGATAGAGAATATGCCACGGTGGGGATGCTCTCTGATGTGGTCGCCCAGACCAGACGGCAGGATATTATCCATGCCGCAACTTGTATGTGGCGGGCTATACCTGTGGCTTGGGATTGAATTGGGCTTGGGGACCGGGGAAGGGATCGGGTAGGGGTCTGTATTGGGCTGAATTGAAAGAGTGAAACATACACATCTTCAAGCGGAGACCATGCCCCCGGGGCAGGGTACACATAAAGTGGTACGAAAACTTTGGACTTTGGACCCATGCTGTTATTGTGTTTCTTGCGAAGGGTGGTGACGACGACGGGGGGGGATGACGGCGGCAAGAATCACAATGAGGACAACAAGGCCTGCAATAATTCGAGAGCGTCTCGATTTAAGACAGCCGCGCGAACTCACGTGCTTTTCAGCGTCTGTGGTGGACATGTTGGTGGACATGGGTAGAATGGGGTGGAACTAAAAGAAGGGAGGGAACCAGGTTGAAAAGGAAATCTAAAGTGGATTCAAAGGGAATCAGAATTGCTATTGTTCCATATAAAAAAACCGCGAAGTGAAACATAGGTATTGGCAGTTCGGAAAAAACGAAAGTCGACCAGGCCCAGCCCTGCCCCGTTGCTGCGTCGCCCCAAATCGACCAGAGCGGGTTTCGGCCATGAGATGCAGGATCTTAGATCAGAGCCATGCAAGTTTAGGGCCCTGCGCCATCCACCGGAGGCGCTTAGGGTCTGGAGAAAATAAAAAAAAAGGGACGGAGACACAAGGTCCAGCCGCATAATCGGCCCACCACGGGTATCGTGTCCGACTCTTCTTTGGTTGCACTCACTTTTGCCCCTTCTGTTCGTTTTTCATGTCGGCTTATGCGTCATTGATTTTGTATTATCACAGTCCATTTTTGCCGGTGAGAGGACGTTGCTGATTCCTTGTTCATTCGGTTGTCATGACATGCCACAATTGGCATAATCGAAGCTAAACGAGGATTCCGAGGCAGCAACGCCGCACGGGGTCTCCGTGAAGTGTATAAATCAAGCGTAGCGGCCTGTGGGTTCCGGCGGATCTCATTCACTGTCTCAAAAAGCGTATAAAGTCCTCTTTCTTTCTCAGTGTGGTAGACAATCTGTTACAAAGACGTCGACATCAGTTGTTTATCAGCACAAGTCCACATCACAACACTCCCCATTTCTTCTTCATATTCAATCAACTGCCTACCATGGACAGTCGTCGGAGGTCAGATGCGAGCACTCCTGTGGAGACTGACTCGCCTGCCTCAGTGGACACACCGGCCACCGAGTCGTCCGTGCTATTCGACAATCTCGATGAGCTTCTGCAAAGATTGCCATCGGAAAATCAGCATATCCTTGTCACCGGTGGCTTGGGTTTTATTGGAAGTCATACCACCCTGGAATTGCTCAAGGCCAACTATAATGTCATTGTCATTGACAACCTCAGCAATGCGTTCAAGGTCGTCTTCGACCGCATTAGTGAACTTGCCCAAAAGTTCCACAGCGAAAATGGAACAAAAATGCCATCTTTGAGGCTACACCAACATGATTATAGAGATACTGCATCTCTTCGACCTCTGCTGGAGGAATATCAGCTCCCGTCACGATGGGGGACCCCAAAATCCAAGATCGCAGGTGTGATCCACTTCGCGGCTTACAAGGCCGTCGAAGAAAGCATTCGACACCCGTTGAAGTATTATGCCAATAATGTCGGCGGTCTGATCGACTTCGCGACAACTCTTGGCGATTTTGGCATCAAGACTTTCATCTTCTCTTCTTCAGCAACCGTGTATGGCACTCTCGCGACTTCGGGTCTACCGTTGAAGGAGGAGCTTTGCGTACACAAGCCAGAAGAGTACACCGACGACGCCGGTGTTGTGCAAACAGCTCAGCCTGGATCCACGGGCATCACGAATCCTTATGGACGCACGAAATGGATCTGTGAAAGTATTCTTGCCGATCTTGCGGAGTCCGATCCCGAATGGACCATCGTTGCGCTTCGATACTTCAACCCAGTCGGATGTGATTCTTCCGGTGTTCTGGGCGAGGACCCGAGACAGGCTCCCACCAATCTGCTCCCTGTTGTCACCAAGGTGATGACTGGTGAGTATACTCAGCTGCAGATGTTCGGAAGCGACTGGGATACTGTGGACGGCACTGCGGTCCGAGACTTCATCCATGTTACTGACCTGGCTCGTGGTCACATCGCAGCTCTCAGCACTGCGAATGAAGGGAGGTTGATTGAGAACTTCCGCACATTCAACCTCGGCACAGGGTGTGGAAATTCCGTTTTGGATGTGGTTACCACCATGGAGGCTGTTTCCTCTAAGCCCATCGCTCGAAAGGAAGCCGATCGTCGTCCAGGTGACGTTGGCTACTGTGTCGCAGTCGCAGACCGATCCCGGGAAGAGCTCAAGTGGAAAACGGAGAAGTCTTTGAAAAATGCTTGTGAAGATATTTGCAACTTCTTGCATGTTAGCGGGCTGACCCCGCAACAATCCTCTTGATGCGTTCAAATTTTGTCCTGAATATTTTCTTTTCTTTTGTCACGAATATTTGCATATGACGATAAGCCTGCTGTTGGCACACTCCTGACTGGCTGTGTCTAGAAGATTTCCTGTTTCTTCTTCATCTTTTTTTTCTCTTTCGGTTTGATGATATCTATTATGTGATTAATAATGGCTGGGGATGGTCCTGTGAGCGACGTTTGTTGATCATCTTGTTCTTTTATATTTTTGTTGATTCTCATGTATGTACTTCGATTTCTGGATACATCTAACCGAAAAGCAAGCATTTCATTACCAGAAACAATCAGAGCAATGTAGTCAGTAGATATCCATGAGAACAGACCAGTTTCCGATGATGCTGGTTTCAAACTTGGCTGGAGGGTCAACGTTGACGATGACAGGCGAAATTGCGATGTCAATCTGCACGTGAGGGACGACTGTCACGTGATATCCCGCGCGCCAGCTTCGACCGCCGAGCCGAGGAAGCTTCCTAGGTTCCTCTGCTGTCTTGATCTACATAAGGATTGAACCCCAATCATTCCACGGCGGAAAAGGACTGGAAATGTCCCGCTCAGGTCCAGATAGTTTCCTCTATCTACACGCCGAGCTCCTGCCTAATATCCGCCAAATCACCCTCTACCTTTCCCTGCCCCAAATCAGTGCACTAAATAACGTCCGACCGACCATACAGCTATCAGAATCCTGCAAGGCAGTCACAGTCTCGCTCTCCGAGCCTTACCAAGATGTGTCAGAGACAATCAAGCTCCCGGCACGCGTCAACGACGCGTCTCGCCGAGCATTGAACACGAGCGCCAGCCCAACAATCATGCACAATCCGTCCCAATCCAAGGGTACCAGCCATGACTACTCTTTTAGGATGCAGATCGATGCCAAGGAGCCGGCTCTCGCACCTCGCGACGAAATTATGGATGATTACGTACCCTGGACAGCTGCGGATATGTCTTCCTCGACCCGTATTCGTTGCCGAAAGTGTGGCGCGACCTTCCTCGATCCAGCAATGTCCGCAAATATACCGGAAGAAGAAGGGACTGAGATTCCGGCTAAATGGGACTGGAAAGATTTACCAAGTGGGAATTGGGCGGAGATGATGGACTTCTGGCACTGTCACAAGCCTGACCCCCACGAGGACGACCCAAAGTCCGAAGCCACAGCCGCTCTCAAGATTGAGGAGCAAAGTGCCCAGATTAAGGGATACGGGGCATCCAGTCGTGTTGAAGCGATCCCTGCTACTGTCCTGATCGACGTGGCTACTTTCCTACTGGCGGAGTCCGACTGTGTAGGCTTGCAAAAGGTGAGATTACCCCAGATATCATGTTATTATTTTCATAAATCGAACTCGCTTTCATACCTTGAAACCGCATTTTCTTTTCATCCGGGCAACCAGAAGGAGACCATTTCATGCCCATGGGGTGGCCTCCGATACTATTGCCCTAGACAGATGTCTGTGCATATCGCGTTCAGTCAGATGGCAGCCATTTCGGCTTTCGAGTCTACGGCTCTGGAAGGCAGATATCCTCTCTCGCTAGATGGATTTCGCCAACCTTTGCTGACAGACTTGGTAGCATTTATGGCTGCTGTCTCTGTTCGTTTTCTAAGCACACTCTTCGTTGTTGACGGCGGTCTGGATTCTTTGGAACCTTCCCAGAACAGTGGGGCCGCCATCGCTTTTGAGGAGGCACATAAAACAATATGTCTATACGTCTTGCCCTTAAGCATTTTCTGGGCTTATATCCAATCACAAATCGAATACTTTCAATTGCCTTAGCCTTGTTTTTCTTGTATTCTCTAGAACCAGCTGTGCTAACCCGCCATTCTTTTAGAGCAATCAAGAGGAAGCCAAATCCAGTACCGGGGTTTCAGAACGACGAACATTAGAGTGCATGAACTGCAGCACTATTATTGGCATGGAAGATTCGTCGGCCAATGGATGGCGACTACTCAAAGCAAATGTTTCCTTGAACACAAATCCCGCCCCTGTTCCAGACGAAGAATGGCAAAGCCACCCCAAAGAGATGATTGTCGCGGCACAATTGCTGGAGCTGATCGAGCGTGAGAGCGCTCGAAGATTCGTCGTTCATTGCGGCCAAAAAAGTGGACTATTGGTATACTCTCTCCCTTGATACCCTAACATTGGAATCCAAATACTCACATGAATTTTCAGCTCTGGGTCTTCAACCCCAACCTACGCTATTCGAATTCCTCTTCCGGGTACAGTATCAACGCCCAACAAGCCATGAAAGTGTTCTATCAGAACGTTGATGACGTGGACAAACTCCTCAACCCAGAACTTGGAAAAGTCAGCCCATTATCGGTGGAAGAGCTCGAATTGCCCTCTTCGATTCTACAATCCTTATCCTCCTCCCTCGAAAAAAGCAACAACATGCTTCCTGTTTCAGCGAGAAGGTTTAACGAATGGCACGTCGGCTTGTTGAGCCGATTCAGCCGTGAGCAAACGGCCACCTCTGCCTCTGCTTCGATCTGAGGATATTTACGTGTTTATGCCGCCTATCACCTCCCCACGCGATGCATCGTTTATCTCCAAACTACAGTTCAAGAAGCACATATAATCGGCATATTTCATCGATTTGGTGTATCATTAATCCAATCTTTTATTACAATCAAGCTTTTCTATCCCTCATAGGGAGTCTCATACGGCTGTTCAGCCTGTGGAGTCAGACGGGCAATGTGTCGGCGCTGACCATCCTCCCAATCGAATACGGCAGAGTGGCATGCAATGCGGTTATCCCAGACGACCACTGTACCAGACTTCCATCGGATGCGGGCCTGCAAGTCTTGCGACAGCGCGATGTGGTCATAAAGGAATTTGAGCAGGTAGTCCGACTCCTCCTTCTTGTATCCGACGATGGATCGGGTGACTACAACAGTTGTCAGTACTCCTGGGTCATTTTCAGGCATATTGAAAGGAAGGGTGGGGATGGTGCTCACATTGCGGGTTGACGTATAGGGCCTTCTCGCCCGTTACTGGGTGAGTACGAACAATAGGGTGCTCTGAAACGACGGGGTCACGGCGCGCAATTCCGCCGCCATTCAGACTAGCATTTACCTGTTCAACACCCGAGTGAATGGCCTTCAGTCCGTGCAGTCGCTTCTGGAACTCTGGAGACAGCCGCTTATAGGCCTGCGCCATGTCGGCGAAGAGCGTGTCGCCACCGGTAGTGGGACCATCGAGAACATAGAGGAATGTTGTTCCGGGTGGCTGCTTTTCAAAAGTGACATCCGAGTGCCAGGTAATTGTGTTGGTGCGCTGTGCCAGGAAATTGGCGCCAGTGCGATCGTCCGCACCTCGGAAGACCAGGTGGATTTCTGGGAATCCCTTGGGGGCACCCGATGTTTGGTGAATGTGGTGACGACCGAAGTAGCCAGCCCAGTCAACGGCTTCTTGGATGGGGAGGGTTGCGAAGTCCTGATCGCGGAAGGCTATATATAGAGCGTTAGAGTCTAGGATTGAATGAAAATTGATCTTGCGGGGAAGTGGAGCTTGAACATACCAACTACTCGACGCTGAGCGACGTAGAGGGCTAGCTGGTCCTTGCCAGCCTGTGAGAGCTTGCTCAATTGTACATTGTGGATTTCGGAGCCGATGAAAGGGGTAATTTGATCTACTTGAGCGGGACCATCCTTAGGGAAGAGATCGGGAAATGTAGGGTCTGCATCTTTGCCGTGGTCGTAGTGCTCGAAGAGTGTCAGAGGAGGATATCTATGTCAATGTTAGTGATATTTCCTTGCGATATCTTCCAACGAGTTGTATCGTCCGGCTATTGATATTGTTTACCTGGCGGTTTCGTTGTCCCAAACAGGCAGATAGTTGGGATAGGCAGCGGGAGCAATCTTGTCGGTGCCCTTCAACTCCGGGTCCTTTTCATATTTATATCCGATCAAGTTCTCCTTGTTATGGCCGGCATCGGTCTTGTGAGCCACCTTGAATGTGGCATCGCGGAGACCCACGGTCTCAGTGAGAGCAGGGGCCATGATCTTTGATTGAATGGAGGGTTATTGAGTAAACTCCAGTAGTTGAGGTTTGATAAGATATTTGGAAACCTGAAGCCTCGCTATTCTCAAGTATAGCACTTCACAGGAACAATTTCGGTCTATTCAAGGAGCAGATACGTTTTAATTATATACCAGGCCAATAATACTCCGACTCATGATTGCGCAATGACCGCGGAGTGAGTCTCTCGCCCGAAATATAATCCGAATATGCTTTGTCAACTTGAACCTTGGAATCTGCGATCAGTGCCTACTCTGGCAGGTAGTAGATTGCGGGGTGATCGGGTGGTCGGAATGCCTTCATTTCTGTTGGCCCTGGGCTGCGTTATGCATGTCACAAATGGCGTGATGACAAGATTGTAGCGACCAACCGGACCATTTGGGGGGATTTTGATGGCGTGCGACTGGGTACGGAGTACAGAGTACCCCAAATAGACCTGAAGTTCGCAAATCAATAAAATAATACGAATTGCTTGTGAACTTTTCTTTTTGTTGTTCTGTTCTGCTTGTTCCCCCTCACGATGGCGTGCTCCTCGACCGACCTCACGCAAGGCGAGCAACACCAAAACTTGAACCCTCGGCTTTTACCACTCGGAGGTTTTAGGGAGTGAGTTCTGTCAAAATATAAGAGATTTAGAGGCGCTGCAGAATACTGATTGGCACAGGGATTTAATAATTCGGCTTATGGCTTCGTAGCCGATTGACCAGATTGAGCACGGAGTAAAGCTACTAACCTACTCGTAGCCCCGGTGGGCGATTGTGCAATAAATAGATGATGATAGATAGAATGCTTAAACTCCAACACCGTGAAGATCATAATATCCTTTTCACCCCTAAAATCTTGAAAGGTCGAAATTCTTGCTCTGGAATCGATTCATAATTATAGAAAACAAAGTAATGACGCAGTAATTCGGGTCAACGCCGCGACTCCATCAAGTGGAGCATCCAGTGGGGTCGAGCTAAAACGAAATCCATGCGTATTCCACTGGATTTGACTCGCTGAGCCTAACGTCAGTTCAAACCGTCTTGCGTGCTTCGGCCAAGCAGACGCTTCACTGGCAAGCTCCCACGTACCCATTATCAGTTGGGTCGGGAGTTATGGACGAATTAAGCAGCTCCCAGCCCTGCTTTACTTTTTTCTCCCCCTTTGTTTCACTCTAGATCACGGCATTTGTCCGCTTGGGTCTACTTTGTAACGCAATCCCCCCTCGCCACGAGTATGAGCACATTTATGCTGTCAAAACCGTTCATTCACTCATTGGACTACCCGACCACCTTCCTGGTTAGAAAGAGCCAGGGCAGCCGACGTGCAGCAGATCGGACCTAGATGCACGTCCGATCCACCTCGTGGCTTATCTGTAGCGACTTCAAGGCTGAGATCTGATTGTCCGCGTCTGCCACAGACTATGGCGTGATAGAGGGCTAGGATGGCTGATAGTCGGTTCATGGACCAACTTTTTTTTCGTGCTTGCTCGGGCCCTTCTTATAGCTGGTAATGTCCGTTATTTTCTAGATCAGTCTCAATCATTCTTGCTTTGCTGCACCAGATCGAATTTGCCGATCCATAGTTGCAAATATGACGATAGAGGAGGCGAAGACTACCGGCTCCGACGCGGACAACTATGATACGAAGGTCGTGCCCCGAGTTGAATCTGCAAGTGACTCTGATTCTACTTTGACCGGTCACCGAGGCACCGTTAAGACAATCGACTGTGCCTTTGATACCACCGAGGACCCCCGATACTACAAGCCTATCCCGGAGTATGAGGGTTATCATCGCTGGGACCCGGAATTCGAGTGGACCGAAGAGGAGGAAAAGGCCGTTGTGAAAAAGGTGTGTTAACAATAGTTTGTCAAGGCTGCTTTGGTTTCTATGAACTCAATATACTGACAAAAACCCGCAGATTGACTGGCGTGTCTGTACATTTGCCTGTGTCACATTCTTTGCGTTGCAGCTCGATCGAGGAAATGTCGTCCAAGCTACATCTGACAACATGTTGGGTGACTTGGGCATGAACACCAATGACTACAACACCGGACAGACAATTTTCCTTTTGACTTTCCTATTTGCTGAACTTCCATCCCAATTGCTTTCGAAGTGGTTCGGTCCCGATCGCTGGATTCCTGTTCAAATGGTCTCTTGGAGTTTGGTCGCTGCCTGCCAAGCTTTTGTTAAGAACCGAAGCACCTATTTTGTGACCAGAGCTCTGCTGGGTCTTCTCGAGGGTGGTTTGTAAGTTTTATCGGACTTGGATGTACATTTCTTCTATCTACTAACACTTCACAAGCATCCCTGATACTATTCTATTCCTCTCGTTCTGGTACAAGTCCAAGGAGTTGCCCATTCGTCTGAGTTACTTCTGGGTCGCCTACCAAGGCACTTCAATTGTGAGCGCGTTCCTTGCGTTTGGATTCCTGCATATTCGCGGTTCAGATGGTACAGGAGGCTGGCGATACCTATTCGCGTTCGAGGGTTTGATCACCGGTTTAATCGGTATTGTTGCCGCCTTCTGGATGCCTCCTTCGCCCACTCAAACTGCCGGTAGATTCCGTGGCAAGGACGGATGGTTCAACGAGAAGGAGGAAAAGATCATGGTCAACCGTATTCTTCGCGACGACCCCAGTAAGGGTGGCATGCACAACCGTCAGGCCGTTACTCCCCGCATGCTGTGGCACGCTCTGAAGGACTACGACATGTGGGTCATCTACCTGCTCGGATTGACCTGGATGATTGCCAATACGCCGGCGACATCCTATATCAGTCTGCAACTGAAGTCGCTGGGCTTCAGCACTTTCCACACCAACTTGCTCGCCATTCCGGCGTCCGTCATATTTATTATCAACTTGCTCATCTGGACATGGATTTCTGAGAGATTCAATATCCGTCTGCTTCTGGGTGTCGGTGCCGAGCTCTGGGCTATCATCCTGCTCATTGCACTCGAGGTACTTCCTAGTGGTGCCAGTCCCTGGGCTCGCTGGGCACTTTTGACTTTGCTCATTGGTATGCCTTACGTTCATGCCATCGTCGTTGCAATCACATCGCGGAATGCGGGTACTGTTCGCACTCGGACCGTTGCAACTGCACTCTACAATATGATGGTGCAGGTTAGCAACATCATTGGAAACAATGTGAGTACACACAACTCAGATACTTTAGCGACGCCCAACTAATCAATTTTTAAACAGATCTATCGAGAAGATGACAAGCCGCTGTACCGAACTGGAAATGCGGTGTTGATTGGTCTTGCGGCATGGAGTTTGGTGATGTTCATCATTGCTAATTACTACTATGTGTGGCGCAACAAGTAAGTCATGTTCACTCTAACTCATCTCTTTTGAATATTATCTAATACAATGCAGGAAAAATGCCGCTGTCTGGGACAACATGACCAGTGAAGAGCGAGAGCGATATGTGGCCGAAAATCAACATCGTGGCAATAAGCGGTATGTCCTAATACTATCCTGCAAAACCAT